CGGGCGGCCCGCCCGGAAGGGAGGCTCGGGCACCCCCAGTAAAACGACGCGAAGATCGGGACAAAATCGGATCGGGATAACTCGAAATCTCTGAGAATCAGCGGGTTTGGAGGACATATTGGGCGCTGCGGCCGCTCCAGAGCGTTCCGGAACGCTCCGAGAGCGCTCCGGAACGCTCTGGAGCGATTTATCCCGATCCTAGCCCTGTTTTACCCAGGGCTGGGGAAGCCACAGGGGCCGGCCACACGCAAGAGTGATCCTGGGCAAGAGAGAGAGGCCCTGTGGTGCGCGGCTATAGGGGGGGCGGCGGTGCCAAGCCCAAGCGCGCAAGACGCTACCATCGCATGGAGTCTAGCGATCGAGGGGCCCTGGTGGGCCCGCACCACGAGAAAACCAAATCAAAGTCTTTTTAGGGCTATAGGGCCATTGGGCTACAGGGCGATGGGGCTATGGGGGCTATGGGGCTATAGGGCTATGGAACTATAGGGCTATAGTGCCATAGGGCTATAGGGCTATAGGGCTATAGGGCTACAGGGCTATGGGGCCATAGGGCTGTAGGGCTGTAGGGATATAGGGCTATTGGGCTATGGGGCTCTGAAGCTCTGGGGCTATGGGGCTATAGGGCTGTAGGGCCACAGGGCTATGAGTCTACAGGGCTATGGGACTATAGGGCTGTAGGACCATAAGGCTATAGGGATATAGGGCTATGGGGCTATGGAGCTATAGGGCTACAGGGCTATAGGACTGTAGGGCTATAGAGCTATAGGGCTATAATGATACAAGGCTATGGGGCTATAGGGCTCTAGGGATATAGGGCTATGGGGCTATAGGCCTATTGGGCTGTAGGGCTGTATGGCTATAGGGCTTTGGGCTATAGGGCTCTGGGGCTATAGGGCTATAGGGCTATAGTGCTATAGGGCTATAGGGCTATAGGGCTATAGAGCTATAGGGCTCTGGGCTCTATGGCTATAGGGCTATAATAATACTATAGGGTTATAAGGCTATAGGACCATTGGGCTATAGGGCTGTTGGGCCATTGGGCTATGGGACTATAGGGATATGAGGCTATAACGCTATAAGGCTGAAGGGCTATTGGGCTAAAGGGCTATATGACTATAGGGCTATAGGGCTACAGAGCTTTCAGGCACCCGGACACTCGGGCAACCCAGGTGGGCCGCGGACATCGGTGACGCACCTCACCTAACCATACGAATCCGCTAGGACCCCTACAGAGGCAAAATCTGATTGGGGAATGAGATGCCAGTGCAGCTGCTCGCCGGGCCTCTCCTGGCGTGCGTGCCGCTAGGATCCCAGGGCGACTGCAGCCGTGGCGACGAGGGACGCTTGGCGGTACGGCATACACATCATCTCTCGGAGGTCTGCGCGCATCGATTGGCGCCGGCCCCCCTCCGTGGCGCGATGCGCGCGCCAGGGACCGCGCCACGAGCGCCGCCAGGAGAGCCCAGAGCCGATCCAAGAAATGCGCACGGAACTCAAAGACATCATGCTTTGTGCATCTTTGTTTGTCGACCACGCGTGAAAAACGCTGCGGGTCTGAGGCCGGGCGGGATTTCACGACTGGAGCCCTATGCCGCATCTTTCTGTCGCGTTTCTCAAGCCGGATCGATTTGCGCTGGCCCCAGAGCCCGAAAACGGGCGAAAATGCGAGCTGTGAGAAAAGTGCAACGCCCGGATCTCAGTGCCTGACGTTGCCCCCTGGTGCACCCCCGGAACGCCCTCGACGAGGTGCAGCTGCTGGAGATCATCCCGAGTCTGGAAAACTGCCAGAGACTGACGAAAGCGCACGGATCTCCCAAATGGGGTCCGAATAGATGGGGTCGGCAGGTTGCGCCGCATCGCCGACGCATGGTCGATACATCGGCGATGCATCAGCGACGTTGGCGATTCATCGGCGACGCCAGGGGGGAGAAAATCTGTCTCCACACCGAGCCGCACCGCCCATGCATCGCCAGCGCGGCGGAATCTTCCGCTTCCAGCGCCGTGGGTCGCTTGGCCACCCACGGCCACCCCCGCCCCCCGCGCCCGCGGCTGGGGCCCCGTTGGGCCTAAAGATTCCAGAGGAGGAGGAGGAGGAGGAGGAGGAGGAGGAGGAGGAGGAGGAGGAGGAGGGGAGGAGGAGGGGAGGGGGAGGGGGGGGGAGGGGGAGGGGGAGGGGAGGAGGAGGAGGAGGAGGAGGAGGGGGAGGGAGGAGGAGAGGAGGAGGAGGAGGAGGAGGAGGAGGAGGAGGAGGAGGAGGAGGAGGAGGAGGAGTAGGAGGAGGAGGAGGAGGGAGGAGTAGGAGGAGGAGGAGGAGGAGGAGGAGGAGGAGGAGGAGGAGGAGGAGGAGGAGGAAGGGCCCCACGCGCAAGGAGACGTTGCATGGGGCTGTGGCCGTGCGGCGGCCCCCCCGCGCGGCCGCGGCCTCGCGCCGCGAGAAGAACTGCGCGTTGCCGAGGCCGTCGGGGCGGAACATGAGGCGGATGCCCGGGGAGACCGACACCTCCGCGCGGGGGGGGGTTCGGGGGGGGGGGGGGGAATAGCGAGGAGGGGGAGGGGGTAGCGGGGAGGAAGGGAGAGAGAGAGAGAGAGAAAAAAAAAAACACAAAGAGAGAGAGAGAGAGAGGGAAGGGAGGAGAAGGAGGGAGGGAGGAGGAGGGGGAAGGCTGGGAGGGAAGGAGGGGCGGAGGGAGGAGGGGACTACGGGGAGGGAGGGCCTGCTATGCCTTTTAGCAGGAATCTTCCATCAGGTCCGACGAGGGAGCACGCAGTAGGATGATCATTACCACCACCACCAGCACCACTCAACAAAACCATGTGGAAGTATGATGACAAGGCGGAGAAGGGATCAGGACAATGAGATATGCAAAGAGGTTCCGTCGCTATGTACGTACATCGCTTGCTCCTCTAAAATCAGCTCTGCAATCGGCCTTCCAGCCGCCAGCCCCCGAGGAAAACGGACTGTCTCCGCAAGCCGAAAAAAATATACGTAAGATGGTTCTACGTGGGAGACACCTGTGGGCACAGGGGGTCGGAAGAGAGTTGCAATTGAGACCGACAGGCAAGTCACAGGACTGCGTTGCCGCTGAATCGTGTTCCTCGCCTTGGTGATTTCCTCTGTCCCCTCGTCCATCATGAACCACATTGGGGACGCGCGAACGCTTTCCAAACTGAGAGGCAGCTGTACACATCGCATGCTGATGTGCGGCGGAACGGTTGACCGCCTGATAGCGTGCTGATACGCGGGCAAGCGGCGGACCGTGGGATCGCATGAAAATTTGCGGACAATGCGGCGGAACGCCTGATCACATGCGGACGAAACGGCGGACCGCCTGATCGCATGCTGATATGTGGGCAAAGCGGCGGACCGCCTGGTCGCATTCTGCGATGCGGACCACCAAATTCCATGCTGACATGCGGACAAAGCGTCGGAACGCCTGGCCGCATGGTGATACGCGGGCAAAACGGCGGTCGCGCATTTCACGCCCATCTGTGCAAGTACCCCCATGCTTTCCACTCATGCAAGACAACCGCCTGCAAACGCTCACAATTCAACAGATGCAGCCGATAATAAGGCTACGGTCCCTGATTCATGTGATTAGAGGGTCCCCGTACACGAGCTCCTTCTTTGAAATGTCGTGCAACGGGGCGCGCATAGGGCCGCCAACGCGCGCGCCAGAACCCTCTCCGCGTAGATTGGCCCCAAGATGCCGCGCTAAACTCAGCTCCGGATAGCTATGTCCGTAGTCACGAGGCTTCTCGTCCTCCATCTGCTGCGACTCTCAGCGACGTGGTTCGTCGCTCGGGTCTCATCGTGGAGGGCGCCTGCCGTCTGCAGCTCCATGGGGTGAGCGACCGCCTCAAGACCGCAGAGGGCGACGCCACTCATCTTCGCCTCGGCCGTCGAGAATCAGACCAGCCGCTGCCTCAAGCTGCGCAGCATGCGCTCGCACATGAAACATGAGACGCCTGTCTGCATGGCCGCGTCGCCGCGGTCGGCATCTGAGAAGACGTCGAGCCGGCAGCTGAGGTCCTACAGCTCGAAAGGGGCGCTCTGCACGTAGACGAGCGCCAACTGGCGGGTGGCCGACAAGTGCCGCAATATCTCCTGCAATGAACGGAAGGCGCGCGCGGCCCTCGAGTCGCCGGGCCCGAGGTCCGCGAGACGCTGCAGGACAGGTCTGGCCGGGCCAAGGAGCCAAAGGGGCCCGCCCGCCATCCGCTGCGCGCCGCGCGCATCATCGGGGCCAGGCATCTCGTCGTCGCGGTCGTCGGGGCCGATCGACCATCGACTGGCAGCCGTTGCGCTGCGACGTGCTCCACTCAATCAGCACGTCGTTGACGTACTCGCGCTAGCCCAGCGCCAAGCGGGAAAGGTCGACGCCAGCGTCGATGGACAGGTGCTGGGCATGCCTGGCGGCAATGATCTTCTGGGAGCTCGCAATCCAGGGCGCGCCGACGAAGGCGCGCAGGGTCTTCGCCAAATCCTCAGAGCCCATGAAAAGGTAAACAAGATATCGCCCGCATAGCTCAACGCGAAGACAAGGACGTCGCCCACCCCGTCGGCCTCGACGAACCAGGCCGAGCCATCGACCGCAGACTGCTCGAGGAGGCACGGGGGCGCGCCGACGGCGACCGCCAGCTTGCGGAGCTCCGCGTCGCGCTGATCGCCCCAAGCCTTCGGCGAGCACCTCGGGCCGTGGATGGCCCTTTCAGCCACCCAACTTCGCCCGCTGGCACCAGCCCGAGCTCGGCGAAGATGGCCGGCGAGCAGATGACAGACGGCCCCTTGTCCACCGGGAAGAACGCTTTCTTTCAGGGGCGCAGTTGACGCGTCGAGCGCCAACGCGCCCCGCCGACGGTTTGGACGCCCGAAATTGGCACGGAAAGAATGGGCACTATGCCCAACAACAAATGTTGTCCCAAGCCAACAGCGGCCGCTCTTGGGCAGGCGGCCTCCTGTCTCGCATGGACACAGGCCGCGGCGGCGTGGACAGCGAATACTGTTCCAGATGAACAGGAATCGTTGTTGGGCATTGTACCCATTCTTTCAATGCCCATTTCGGGCGCCCAGAGACGGCGCGCGCGCGCGGCGACCGCCGCGCGGATCCTGCAGGAGGTCAGCCAGAGGAGGTCTTCGCAGGATCCTGTCCCAAGGCTCCCATGGCGTTGACCCCCGTCCCAAGGCTCCCGATGACAGACGGCTTCTTGTCCACCGGGAAGAACGCTTTCTTTCAGCGACGCAGTTGACGCGTCGAGCACCAATGCGCCCCGCCGACGACGCGCGCGCGCGGCGACCGCCGGGCGGAGCCTGGCGATGCCCACGTCCCGCGCGGAGTGCCGCCCGGGGCGCCAGACGCCTCGGGGAGCTGCCGCGCGCGCCGCCGCGCGCCCGGAAGCGCAGATGGCCGGATGCCCGCCTGGCGCCGTCTCCCCCGCCGCCGCCTGCGCGGGGGGCGCGTCGGGGGGCCTCGCGGAGCGCGCCTCCGAGGCCGCGAGGGGGCGAAGACGGCCGCCCTTCGGCCGTCGCAGGGCCCGGCGCCGCGAACCCGCCCCCTGGCTTCGGAGGCCGACGCCGCCGCGGCCGAGGAGTGCAGCCGAGGGCCCCCCGACCGGAGCTGCTCCATCTCGCGCCTCGCGGAGCGCACGTCCGCCGCGAGCCGCTTCCGCCCGCCCCTGGGCTCCGCGGTCCCGAGGTGCACCTCGGCCACGCTGCCCGCGCCTTCGACGTCGCGCTCGCCCCGTGCACGAGGCCGCCGAGGCGGCGCGGCATTCGACGCCGCGCCCGAAGCAGAAGAAACTGGCGCGCCGAAGGCGCGCCACCGGCGACGGCCCCGAAGGCCCGGCCCGCGACGGCGCCCGTCGATGTTGGGCGGCCGAAAGCGGCGCGCCCTCGCGCGGCCATGTTGCGCTCGCGGTGGCGGTCGCAGGCGCAGCCCAGACTCTGCGCGCAGCCGTTGCGCGCCGACTGGCCCACCCTGCGGGTGAAGCAATCGCCGTGGACCGACCCGCCGCATGCCGAGTAGATCATGGATGGACGCGCCAGATCATCGCCACGGCATGAACACGCAAATAACACCCCCGTGAAAGTAGACGGTGAAATCGATGTAAAAGGGCGGAACCCCTGAATACAGCGCCCCTCGGCGTTTGGTCCATAACCCTTCTTGCGCCTCCTGGCAAGGGTCAGCCAGTCGAAAACGCACTGGTAAGCTTAGGTATATATTACGCCTTAGGCGTTCCCATATCCCAGGCTTTGGCTCATATCGCATGAGCAGGAGAGCAAGACGAAGCATGGGATCTGGAGTAAAGGATAGGATGGGCATCGTCAATGGAAAAGGTATTTTCCGATCTCAGATACAAGTCGTGCGCCTCGGTGAGGCACAATCACATATTTGGCCGGGCCCGGCTTGAGCCAGGCACGGCAGCGGTACATGCTCGATTTATACCTCGCCTTTAACCTTCTCCGTTTAAAGTCGGAGGGGGAGGAGACGAGCAGGCACCGCACTTCTACATTGTGCGGAAAAAACAGTGCTAAGCAGCAGCGGCTGCCTACAAGGCAAGGGCGCGCGAGTAGTCTCGCTTACCGGCGAGTTTCCTCGCTACTAGAGCGCACCTGCCCGCGGGTTTCCCCGCTAGCTCGGGAGGCAGGGCCGTCCTGAGACGACCTGCCCGCCCTATACGGCGTATGTTTCTTCAGCTCGTGCTTGAAGGATTGCTGGCCGGCCATTACTTGTAGGAGCAACGCGCGGTCAATACTACCTTTGGTATGACCATCGGCAGTCATATCCCGCGTGTCACACCATTGAACGCTTTCAACGATTCCGCGCTCCATCATCTGGCGGATCCAGCTAATGTGCCCAAGCAGAGTACATTCTGTGGGCTTCTTCAGATCTTTGCTAGACAAAGACTTGAAGACAGACTCGGCATCAATAGTCAGAGTGACTTTGATACATAGACCACCCATTTCCAATATGTTCTTTAACTGTGTGGGGGTCAATGGTCCCGAGTGTAGCTCGTGGAGCGTTACAATGGTCGGGTAGCAGTCTTCCAAGTTGTGGGCTGCTGCCAGTGTTTCCGCAGAGTAGCTCGAACGCACCTGCAGTCGATGAGACTTGCAGTATGCGTCCACCAGGTGCACGACGGGTTTCCCCGCTTGCGTGTGGCCACGCCTCAGCAGGTTAGCCCCGCGGATACCATAGCCTTTGACTTCGTCGTCTTCATCTCCATTGAGACGGCGATAGCCAGAATCGCTATGCAGGTCGACTTCTCCTGTTGGGGTCATAGCTTGATACACGATCTTCTTCGGACCTGCCTGTAGTTTCCTGGTAACCGCGTTTAGTCGTCGTACCTGGATGTTTGTCGGTTCCTGGATACGTTGTAGTGAGACAACATAGACCATCAGCCATACCTGCGTGATCAGCGCATAGGCTAGAGCGCCACGGAGACTGACGAACATATCAGAAATCGTATTTGTCGCTTTGCTCTCAGGATCAGCTCCTGTGA